ACACACACACACACTTACACACATTTAACCCTGCTTCTCTTTCACGCAACATTTACAGCGACAATCATTTATTTCCAAAATTCAGCTGATTAGTCAAGGCATAAATGCAAGCGTAGAGGCCCCCTCTACAATCCTTGTATATGTTGTTGAGCCTAAAAGCGACGTTATTACCACTTCTTAACTTGTTAGTGTTTCTTTTCTGTTGGGACACAAAATATGGGAAAGACCCAAAGGCAGGTTGGCACGACTGCTGTCCTATGGCAAACCCTCAGGTCTAAATAACCTCTTTCAGCTTATTTCGCAACATTTTGTGGAGAAAAAAAAGGAAAGATTTGACTTCTATTTCATCATGTTTTGTTACATTGCAGTCTCTACAAAACAGTTAAAGCCAGGCCACTACCTGAAACCTGATCTGTGCTTCAGAGGTTTGTTTTGAATTTGTGGACCTTTCCTTATTGGTGTCACTCTGAATTACGAACGCCACGCCTCGTTGGGGCTTTACCCAGACCGCTGTTCCGGCAGTGTTCTCTCTTACTCTTTAGGACGTCAAAGTCGGTTGTTAAACATGCAAACTCGCAGCCAGGAAATGAAAGTTCAACCTGTGTAGACTCAAAGTYGGTCGGATACCTAAAAGCTGAATCGTATCACGTTATAAGAAGCTGTCAGATTTTATTAGCTGTGTCTTTTGAATGGGTATTTTTGTCAGCTGCTTTCCAACTGTGTATAAGAAGATAGGATAGGTTTAAAAAAAAGCATGGCTGCCTTCCACATGGCCTAAATATATTTTCATAAAACAAGCACTGATTTTGTTTTTATTTGATCGCTTTTTGATTAAATTTGTTTAACCCTTGTTCACTTTTGGCTTGTTGCTACCCAAAAACCRTTTGTGTAAGATAAACTACACCAGCTCTTTGTAAGTGGACATTCACAGTGAGAAATCATTGCATATTTTCTGCTAAGGTAATACACACATAAAAGAGACCACAAGCCTCAGACCAACTCCAACCTGCTAAATATCTTGTCACAGGAGTGAAAACACAGAAGACAAGAGCGATGGGTCTCAAACCAAGGGGAGGCATCAAACAGACGCATTGTGCTCAAAGCGAGGATCGTAAAGGGAGAAGGGGGGTGGGGGGGGGTAGAGGCACGGGCTTTTGTGTGATCTTAATCTTAATTCAGCAGAGTTTTTGACACAAGTTTTACCTTCTATTGACATTCAAAACATCAGTATTACACAGGCAGACACAAACACACACGCACACACACATACACGTACTCAAACGACGTAACCCGAGACGTTCACTTTCATTAAACGGGCCCAGACAGCATCTGTGTCTCGTATAGGAAAAGGTGTTTCATTGAGCCGTGATCTTCTCCACACACACACACACACACACACACACACACACACACACACACACACACACACACACACACACACACACACACACACACACACACACACAC